CACAAAAGACCCCAAATAGCCAAATATAGCCAAAGTAACCTTTTTTTTTTCTTGAGACAGGGTTTTGTTCCATTGTCTGGGACTAGAGTGCAGTGGCATCATCATAACTCACTGCAACCTCAAACTTCTGGGCTCAAGCCATCCTCCTGCCTCAGCCTCCTGAGTAGCTGGGACTACATGTGCACACCACCATGCACAGTTAATTTTTCTATTTTTTGTAGAGACATGGTCTTGTTTTGTTGCTCACCCTGGTCTTGAACTCCTGGGCTCAAGCAATCCTCCCATCTCAGCCTCCTAAAGTGTTAGGATGACAGGCATGAGCCACTGCGTCCAGACCGTCCCCCTCCATTTTTGAGATGGGGTCTCACTCTGTTGTCTTGGCTGGAGTTTAGTGGCATCATCATAGCTCATCGCAAGCTCAAACTCCTGGGCTCAAGTGGTCCTCTGGCCTCAGCCTCCTGAGTAGCTGGGACTACAGTTCCTTGAGGTGAGTCATTGTGTGCTGGACTGATTGCTGAGTTTTAGGAACTGCAGGGCTGAAAAGACTAGGTCTTGAGGCAGAGGACACACTTTATGGGTGGATGATCTTTCTTGGGCTCTCAAACTTGCTTAAGGAATCTTAGGACATTTCATCATCCACCAACCAGACTGGCATATCCAAATGCTGTCAGCAAACCTGATGGACTTTTAGGTGTGATGATTTAAATAACACTATATCAAGGGATCCTCTTTGTCTAGAATAGAAAGGCAAATGGCCTTTCCTACCTGTTCTCCTTAAATATTAGATCAGGCAGAAGGGAAACTGGAATGTGGATGTAAGGGAGAGGGTAAACAAGATGAGAGAGATATATGGATGGGAAGCATGGATAGACAGACGGCAGTATTACAAAGAAGAGACGAAGAGAGATGGACAAAGGTAATGGATGGATAGGGTACAAAGATGGATTGCTTGGGTCTTCACATGAAGTTAATAATACATGACTTGATTTACTGGAATTATAGTAACATTATATAAAATACCGCAAGTGGAGGGGCTTTGTTTAGAAAAGTACAGAATTCTGTAGAAATATCAGGTATAATAAATAATACGTGGACAACAGAGACAGAGACAGTGAGATAGGTCTGTACCAGGTCAATTACCTCTGAGCCTTCAACAACACATCTGCCCTGCAATCTGTTGTTCACAGTAGGATTTTTTGTAAATAAGTGTAGAACATTACAAATAATACTAACCATGTCCCAAGAGCTTAGAGTTGTCGGAAACATGCCTTGGTTTTACCGGGGTTAGTACTCCTCATGTTCACCGGCCAGGAGATAGTGAGAAAAGTGTGTGGAGATGAAGAAGCAATAAACAGCAAAGGTGTTTCCTCTTCTCTCAGCTGACTTCTCTTCCTTTCCTCAGCAGCCTCCTCAGTGCCCCCTTCACTTCCTTGTTCCTTAGAGTGTAGATGAGAGGATTCACCATGGGCGTGACCACAGAGTAGAAGAGGGAAATGAACTTGCCCTGGTCCTGGTTGCTGTTCTTAGCCGGAAGCAAATACCCATAGATAGCTGAGCCATAGAAGAGGAATACCACCATCAGATGGGAGAGGCACGTGCTAAATGCCTTTTGCTGTCCCTCTGCGGAGCGGATCTTCAGCACTGCCTGAGCAATGTAGCAGTAGGAGATCAGGATGAGGCTTAGTGGGACTGCAGTGAAGAAGGTGCAGACACCGTTGAGCACAGCCTCGTTGAGACTCGTGTCTCCACAGGCCAGTTTGATCATCGCGGGCACTTCACAGAGGAAGCTGTCCACTCTCCGGTGCCCACACAATGGGAGCTGCAGAGTGAATGTTGACTGGATCACAGAGTTGCCCAAGCCACCCAGCCAGGCAGTAGCAGCCAGCAACCAGCAGAGCCGAGGATTCATAATGGTGGTGTAGTGCAGGGGCCGGCAAACTGCGATGTAGCGGTCAAATGCCATCACCACGAGCAGAATGCACTCAGTAGCCCCTAACCAAAGGAACACATACAGTTGGGTCACACAGCCACCATAGCTGATGGTCTTTTCTGGTCCCCATAAATTGGTTAACATTTGGGGGACTGAGCTAGTAGTAAAGGCAAGGTCCAGGGAGGAGAGGTTGCTGAGGAAAAAGTACATGGGCGTGTGGAGCCGGGCATCTAGGCGGGAAAGCAGGATGATGGTTGAGTTCCCAACCAGGGTCAGCAAGTAAGAGAAGAGGACGGCTATGAGAAAGATCATCTCCAGCTGGGGATGGTCAGATATACCCACCAGGACGAAGCCCTCTGAGGAACTGCTGTTGGCCCCTCCCATCATTTGTTGCTCCAGTCACCGGAAGAACCTGTTCAGAGCAAACTGCTGAGAGAAAAGCAAGTGAAGAAGGAGCTATTGGAGAAGGTGGATCTGCACCAGGAAAGGTCTGGTAGTTCTCCAGGCTCCATAGTTAAGTACCAAGTTATTTTTTACAATTGCAAACTTTTGTTGTATTCTCAAACTGCTGTCAGCTACACAACAGCTGGAAAATTTTATTCCATTAGAATGCCAAATAGGAGCTAACATGGAAATGAAAGATGTGCATTATGAAAACAGAACTAAAAGATTAGGGCTCTTCAGGTCAGAACAATGGTTGCAACAGAAAAGAGGGAGGTGACCATTACAATTATATGTAAAAATTCTCTAAATATAAATTTCCCCAGCTAAAGTTTAGATATGCTCAGGCAAGTGGGAAGCAGACACACTGTATTTGGAAAAGCTCCCCTAGAAGTTTCTGATAAATTTCCTCCCCTGTCTTCTACATCCCTCCCCTCTCAGGTAAAAACTTCTCATCAGGAAAGGTAAAGTTTGAGGAAAAACATGATGAGTCTATAAAATCATGAAAAGAAGGGGAAGAGTGAATATATACAGAAGACATGCATATGTGATTCACGAGGAGGTAAATGTAGAACAAATAAAACTATAAATAAGCCCAAATAAGTTTACATGGAACAGGCTAAAGACATAAACAGGGGTTATCCCAAAAGGGGTTTAGTTCGTTAATGGGTATCAATAATTAGTAAGGGAAACTAGAAGATTTCAGAGAAGATCCCTGATCTTTTGAGGTATATTATCAATATGTCTACCTCTAAACCATGGAGTAATTCTTAACACTTCACAGATAAAAAAAAAAACAGCTGTTGTTAATAATGGAACAATTGCTATTTCCTTTCCTTGGCCAGAATTTAGACTTTTCTGAAGATCATAAACAAAGCCCTTCCTCTTCTTTTGACTAATAAATTAATAAATCTGAGAAGAAAACATAAATATTTCTTGAGTCATCTGTCCTCATCTGGGCACTGGAGACCGGGAGGGAAAGCTGCCTCTCTCTCTAGGCCATGATGTGTCCCACAGCAACCCCGGTTGCTGCCCGAAGAGCAGGCCGATGGGAGATGCGACTCAAGGGCGGTGTGCAGGTGTGCTTAGCTGGTTCTGGTGCACTGGAAAGAGACCACTTAGCCATACCTCTTGGCTAAAGGCCCCAGGAACTATTCTTTTCATCAATATAAAGCAAAAACGTTGGATATCCTGACACTTAAATCCACCCAGAAGTCAAGAAGGGAAATTTCTTCTATTTTTCTGTTTCTTTACTTATTATTATTATTTTATTACTATTGTATCAAGGGGTCAGGGCATAATTGTCTGTTTCTTTAGGTCAGCAGTGGAGTCCCTCTACTGAGTCAGGGATGACAAGGATTTCAGAGGACATTTCAACCCTCCTTCTTACCTCAATCTAATACTTGAAGAAGAGGTGATTACTTCCTGTTTTCATTTAGGACTTAAGGGAGCTGAGGAACTGAGTTGCCAACCTGATAATCAGCTCATCTTCCTGTTTAAGAGTCCTTCCTGATGCCCATTTTACTACCTCCTGCTAGTTCAAGTACTTGTTCCCTTGTGTCCCTTCAGGAGAAAGAAGACAGACAGACACTGCTCGTCTTCTTCTGTGAGTTGTTTGGTCTGTGGGGGGCTGGTGCTTTGTGGCCCTCAGTGGTGCCAAAATTCAATTTAGGCCCTGCTCTGTGCCTATTGAGAATTTTTTTTTAGCCTAGGAATAAAACAGACAAAATGGAAAAGGAAAGGCTATTCCTAGAGTGGGTAGCTGTTGACCCCAGCTGCTCAGAAAGTTCAGGAAGAAATGCTGCACCAGCTAGATCTTTGGCATGAGCCTGAAAAACTCCTCAAGCCGACGTGACTGTAACTTTATCTTCAAGGGTGTATTCAGTAACTTGACTGCTCTTCAGGGCCTTTTTTCTCCCTTGAAAGGCCTCTCCCTTTGGTTCCTAGTTCTCTCACAATCTGGGAGTGTTAAATTAACCCAGAAGTACTTGCATTTCTAGAAGAACCGAGAGAGAGCAATACTGAATTCTCAATCCTAGCAAGGGTGTGCCATGTATAGGGCAGCTGAGGCAGGGAAGCAGCCCAGTGGAGCTTCGCTTGGGGACAAAAGGATTCTTAGGAGGCGCTTACATGATGCATAGATGCTTCTTACCTCTGCTTGCCTGTAAATTTGGTTTGAAAGTTCAGGATGTTGAGAGAAGCAGCCAAGACTTGCTTCTTAAAGAGAATCCTGGATATTGTAATTGCTCACCTTTGCCCATTTCCCCCCTAAATTTCACAACTCTCAATTGGCACTTGTGGATTAGCCACAGCAAATCTGTCATTTTGGGCTGGCATTTTCCTATTATGAAGATTGTTCCTAGGCTATTGGCACTCGCTGTATGTGGGTGCACGTTCTCAGAATTTAAGCCTTGCTTTAATGTTAGCCTGAGTGAAAAAAAAAGAGAAATGGAATCATCAAAAACAAAAACAAACCAACCAACCTAATCCTGCATTCCTGGTCCTAGTAGGGAAGTTTTTAAGCATGTTTTATTTTAAAATATTTCATATATTTGGGAGGTGGTTGACAGTGATATTCCCAATAACTTAGTTTGTACATGACTATCTTGAATATGAGGTCAAAGCTAGTATTTTCTTTTACGTTTTTTTTTTTTGAGACAGAGTCTTGCTCTGTTGCCCAGGCTAGAGTGCTGTGGCATCAGCCTGGCTCACAGCAACCTCAAACTCCTGACCTTAGCGATCCTCCTGCCTCAGCCTCCCGAGTAGCTGGGACTATAGGCATGCGCCACCATGCCCAGCTAATTTTTTCTATATATTTTTAGTTGCCCAGCTAACTTCTTTCTATTTTTACTAGAGATGGCGTCTCACTCTTGCTCAGAGTGATCTCAAACTCTTGACCTTGAGTGATCCTCCCGCCTTGGCCTCCCAGAGTGCTAGGATTACAGGCGTGAGCCACCGCGCCCGGCCAACATTCTCCCTTTTCTCTCTCTTTTCCTCGTATCTGCTCTTTTCCTTTTCCCCATCTTTTTTCCTTCTTTTCCTCTCTCTCCTTTTCTCCCATAGTAAGTCGAGGGACCATTTATGGAAATATACCTTTGGCTTCCGGATCCTCCCGCATCCGTCGCGCTGTCCCCGGTGCTTGGCGCGTCCAGGAGAGGGCAGGCACGGAGTGGGGAAGGCGGCGGCGCTGCGCGCTCCCAGCCCACGGCTGGGACCGCTGCTTTTAACCCCGGGGCTGGTCCCGGCCCTTCGAGGAGCGCTGGATCCGGCGCCTGGAAGCCTAACTCGCTCCGGCTGGTTCTGCCCACCCCAAGGGGGCATCTCCTCCCCCCTACAGGCAATTAGCACAAAGCACCAGCGTGGCCAGAACAGGAAAGATACTGTCCCTGAAGAATCGACTCAGTCTTTCACCTGAACTCCCTCCCCAAACACAGATTACTAATTGAACTAGTAATAACTGTATTCCTTAAATAATTACTAATCATATAATTTTATTCTTTACAAGGTGCTATGACATTATCTTAGTTTTTAAAACACCGTACAGTAGAGGGGGGCAGGTGGTCTTAGCCGCCTTTGGCAGAAGAGTAAATTGAGCGTGAAGTGTTTATGTGACTTGTTCAGTGTCACACAGGAGTGAGCTCCGTGATGGCCTTTTACAGATCTTGCTATGCAGAAGAGCTGCTGTTTTTGACTCATTGTCTGTGAGATGTCATCTTTGAGTTTTTGTTCTTCTGGGGGGTGAGGGCAGAGGAGTCCCCCTTTCTCTAGCCCTCACATAAACCATAAATTAGGGGCATGAAGTTTAGATGCTCATACCACAGTGTGTGAAAAGCAGTGATTTATAACCACTACTAAATAAACACAGAAGAGGTGGCTGGCAACCTGATCAGGTCATTAGATGTCATAGAAGATGAATTACCCTGAAACTGCTGACAAAAACCATACCCACTGAAGAAACGGTGACTAAGGGTGTATAGTGTGCCAGGTGCTGGCGGGGTACAGGGATGAGCAAGATCCACCCGGCCTCTGCCGGTGGGGCTCCCCATCCTGTGGGCTTGTCTCCTGCAAGTCTCTCGTGAGCATAAGAACTGCTTGCTGGCTTGGGCTGTGTGCCAGATGCCATGCTCAGCGGTTTACAAACATGATCACAAGAAAGCAGATGTCATTATTCCTGTTTCACAAGAGAGGAACTGAGGCTGAGAGGTATTAAGTAACTTGTCCAAGGGCAAATGGCTAGTAAACAGCAGAGCCACTAAAACTGAGTCTATTTGAACCCCCCACAGTGCATACTCATGAGAGACTGGAGAATCTCAATGCCTATCAGTAGAGGAATTCAGTAAATTATGGCACCTCTATGGAATACCGTAAATGCTGTCATTGCTGATCTCTGCAAGACCTCTCTTATTTAAATATTATTATATTTTCTTTACTTTGTCCATTTTGGTCCCAATCCCCACTCTGATCCCTCTGCACTCCGCCACAGGCACCTACTCTGTCTAGTGCTTTGGTATATTAGTGTTTGGATATACATGTATCCTTGTAAAATAGTGTTCTGTGTATGTACATGTTTTTCGTTTACATCAAGGGTATTGTGCCATAGTTCTCATTCTGTTTCTTATCCTTTAATGCCCTTTTCATACCTTTTTCACTTTGTTTTAATACACATCTCTGTTGTTAGGTGTGCATTTAGTGTTTCTAATGCTAAATATGCATCTGTTATATTTTATTTATCCATTTCATTAGGGATGAACGTAGAGTTTGTCTTTAATTTCCAGCTACCACAAACAATTCTGCAATGAACACTCATGTGTGTGTTTGTGTGTGTGTGTGTGTGTGTGTGTGTGTGTGTGTGTGTGTGTATACCTTTGAGGGCTAGATCTGCCAGGTTCTGGCAGAGAAGAATGTCCTAGGCATATTTCTAAGTGCTAAAAGCCGGTTGCAGAACAATATGCACCATATGATCTCATTTTTTTTTCTTTTCTTTC